CATATCATATCTCAGTCTCTGTTGTTATTTATTGATACATCATATCATCATTTGGGGCTATTCACATGACACTGTGAGCCCATGAAAGAGAGACTGGAGTGATTGATGACTGAGGGAGGCCGAGGGCCTGATTGTGAGGATAGTTTTTTGGGATCGGGTTGCATGCCGCAGCAGGCCATGTTGGCTTTATATATATTATACTATTACACGTGAGTTGGCCGTGCGGATCTATATATTATACTATTGCACGTGAGTTGGCCGTGCAGCACTTGAGTTGGCCGTGTGGATCCAGATATTATTATAACACATGAGTTGGCCATGCGGATCCAGATATTATTATAGCATGTGAGTTGGCCGTGTGGATCCAGATATTATTATAGCACGTGAGTTGTCCGTGCAGCACGTGAGTTGTCCGTGCAACACGTGAGTTGTCCGTGTGGATCTAGATATGATATTATAGTACGTAAGTTATCCGTGTAGCACGTGAGTTGTCCTTGCTTATAGTGCTTGGGCTTAGGAGCCCCTCATGAGTCTGTACACACCCTCAGTGAGCACAGTCTACTATAAACAGGGATCGGGCTGCACGCCGCAGCAGGTATTGTATAGCGCTAAGTGATTGAGTGTGCTGAGCATAGTGAAAGAGAATGCGAGACAGTGAGATTGAGTACTCTGAGAATGTGAGTACATGAGTACAATCTCTGAGATACATTGCATTGACATGCACACATGACATATATGCATAGAGATGTGTTTTCCTCATGCTGTACGGTATCACATTATTCATAATTTCTCACACATATTGACCGATGGGCATAGTGATGTATTTGTTTTACATGGGTTATCTGGAAAGAAAATGAGATATTCTATTTATTATTGAAAAAATTTTGGAAAATTTTATGTTTTCAAACTTATTCACATTTTTGGTAACTTTGGCAAAAGATTTGGATTTTCACTAATATACTTGAAAGAAAGAACTATTATTGCTGAAATCATGAGGTGGCTGAGCATTTTATCTCTGAGTTACTTCTGGTATTATTTGCTTTATATTATTATGAATTGTTGTGGACTATTGGTTTTGGACCCGACCTTGGTGGAAGCTCGTCACTACTTTCAACCTACGGCTAAGTTTGTTACTTACTCAGTACATGGGTCGGTTGTACTGATACTACACTTCTGCATATTTCGTGCATATATTGGCTATTGTTGTCGGTGTGCTTGATGGTTGCGGGATTTGAAGATGTACCTGCGTTCCTGTTATAGCTACCTCTTGTTCAGGGTAGCCTTAGATTTATAAAAGCTCTATTTAAGTATTATTCAAAGAGACTGTATTTATTCAAACAGAACTCATAATTAATTATTAAATTTAATGATGACTTTTTGGGTCATCACACTCTTCTAGAGCACTTGCCTCCAAATCTTGACCATCTTGAACATTTGCTCCTCTCCTTCTTCAAGGAGTTTTATCTTTGGAACCGGTTAGTCTATAATGTTTCATGCATGCCATAGACTCTATTCATTATGAACTTTTTTTTTTGGAGCATTAGCAATTGGAATATGACATTTAGCTTTGGGTCAGTAAGTATGCCTGTCAATATTTTGCAAATGAATTATTACTTGAACTTCAAGTTCACATTTTCTCGTACGAGGATCTAGATATACTCATAATAATTCATTACATTCACTAATTTTTCTGCTGCCCATTTTCTCTCTCTATTGTTGGGATCACCAACACATATCCCTAACCTTATTTGGGGATCCATATTTGCGTATGCGGTGGAATAATTAAATCATATAGCACATTCATATTTGTAGATGAAAATTATTTGATTCCTGACCCTGAACTGATTATGATAGGGAGAACTTATCATAACTTGGCTAGATGCGTACAAGTGCTATTGTATATTAAATAATACATCACATACCAAATTTTATTTTGGCAGTTTTGTTCTCATAACCAATGGTTTAGCTATAATTGGAGGCATACAATTTCTGCTAAATCAACTTAGATTTAAACCAGTATTATCAAGATAAATCATCATAATTTATATCCTGGAACTGTGCTCTAATAATTTGAGCAATCAATCTTGCAAAAGCCAAACTGCAAGTTGATAACAAATGCACATGTTACCATAGAATAGATCCATCTATTAAAATAATATAATAGTAAACGGTGCACATGGCAGGTGACTGGGCACATATATTTATCACCTTTTATTCGTTCCAGAAAACAAGGGATTCAATCCCAACCTCAACTGGTATATCATGAGAATAAACAGCACAAGGGAATTTCTGAAGAATCTTCTATTTCTTCAATATATGCCAATGTAATTCTCAATTAATTTTTTGCATTATAATTGAACCGCGATGGTCAACCGGTCATGCCAACTAATATTTGTTTCAGTAAACCTCTAGTTTACTGGTGACATATGAGTCCATCATCATGCTTATATTTGTGTAGTACAGATAGAAAGAAAATCGGGTAACCTTTTATACTTACCCGTTATGATTATAGAAATATGAAGATATTCAATATTCCTTTCATTTATAGTCTCAATATGCCAACCACTTTGACCTATACATTTGAAATTCAAAAAGATTCTTTTGAGACTTTACGATATCAATGTCGTAAATAATTTTATTCATCCGGATAGTAACAAATTAATTTTTCCAGAGCTCTTATCAACTTTTATAATACAAGATCTTTTGTCACACCATTCATATGGTAAATGTCTCCTTCACAGAGAAAATTATATCATAATAAATTGTCATGGTCAAAATCATCATAAGCAAAATCATTTCTTGCTTTAATTTTTCCTTTAGTAACCTTTTATAAGGCGCAATAATATATTTTGGCATATCACATGTATGCGACCAATGACATATTCATGTAACCACACAATAATATTTATTCTCTTTATTTCACTCAAACCTCCCTTAGAGATGAGTTGTGTGGTATTTATCTAATCATGCATTGCATGTCTTTATTCATTACTTTTATCACATATTGTTACATTCACTTTTAGGAATGGGTATGCATTCTCAATGCTTATCACAAGTCACATTCTCTTAAAGGAATGGATCATAATCAACGGCGTGCTTTATTATTTTTCATACCAATTTGATGGTAAACAATGCCTTCATATTTTGAAGGACTATTTTGAGAATCCTTATTGTTCTCGTTTTATAATCATATTGATTATTATTATTATTATTATTTTGATCTTTGGAATGCCCACATTCATTGTTCAACCACTTGTTTTTATTTATACTTATTATGCGCCGCTACCACATTCACTTCAAGAATGGAGCAAATCAAGTGGTACAATATTCATGCATTTTCATGAAAAATATATTATTTTTCTTTAGTCTTCATTATATCATCAATATGGTACATTGGGACTCAAACCCAATGCCTTACTAATATAAAGGCATGTTAGGCCATAATAAATTTGGGACTCAAACCCAACTTTTATCATCATGGAGCAGCAGGACTTGATCATGATGTCTTACCCTCATGGTGCATTGCGAGTTAAACCCGATATCTTATTCTCATGATGCACAAGGATTTGAACCTACCGTCTTACCCTTAACCAATGTCATAATAGACCAAAATGCAGTATGACTCACCCTTGAGCCTTTAAAAAGTATTACCACTTTGATTGGTCCATAATGATGTAGATGTAGATCTCTACCCGATCTTGTGTCCTAATATTCTTGATTTTATTTACAATGATGTAAGTATGTAGTAATCTACATGCACTAGATTAATATTAATAAGAATATGCAACAGCTATATAGCATAATAATTTCACGAATGAAATAAAGGTTCCTTGGTTGCTTACTTATAAAGAATAAACTTTGATCATAGTCAAATGTATATTATAAGCAGAATTGAAAATGTGCATGTAAACTCTTATTTCTAAGATTGATTTGAGTATAAATGAGCAAATCTCAATCCTAACCAATACTTTCATTTTTATTTTGTCAGATCTCTCATTCTTAGGCATTAATTACCAATTTTAAAGCCATGTTAGTAGGTGGCTTACTTAAAGATACTTACAACATATATTAGCTTGAAACTATAACTAAAGAGAAAAATTCTTCATGTGTTTTCATTAATTATTTCTAGTAAATTTTCTGTTTAGAAAGCTAAAATATAACTTCCAAATATGATGATGTCGCACTACAAAATTCTGAAAATTTTAACCACAATACCTACTATTAAAAATAGATGTATGTATTTCAAACTAAAGTAGAAAAACATGCGATATCATTTTCTAAGGTGTCTTGGCAAGAACTTATGAACAAAATTCAAAGTTAATTTACTTGCCAACAAGAGAGATGAACAATAACTTACAAAGAGGTTCCTGAATAGATTGGCTATTCATGCAATTACAACGAACATAGGCATCAATTAGCAAAAGAAAGTATCTACTTATCTTTTATTTTCCTTGGATATGACGTGCTCATAGTTGCGAATAAAATTCTATTACTTATGCAAAGTAAACTAGGAATTGGTGAGATAGTAAAACGTGTTATGAAATATAACTCAAAGTAACAATATAGAACAAGGAAAAACAAATTAAGAGATATAGATAGAAAGAGAGGAAGAGAGATTCTTATTTATTCTTCAATTGTGTGTATTTTTCAATCCATTACAAGTCCTTTATATAGGCATGAAAAGTGAAAAAATATATGTCATTGAATATGTCATTAAGCATAGAAATATGTCATTGAATATGTGCATTTGAGAAGATCATGGAGGAAAAGTAGACATCCACCATAATTTGATTTTTGTTGATATTATAAAGGTTAACATAGGTATTTTAAAAAAGTCAACTGAGAAATGGGGGAGAATGATAATTATTGTTTAAAGTAGAAGGTGAAGTTTGATTTTTAAAACAAAGTTGGGTGTAGATGCTTTTCGCCCTTCGTGGAAATTTCCCAAAATATAAAAACATCTATTTGCACCATAAACGTAGGACCATTTTTTTTTTTTAAGGGAATAACTCGGACTTCAAACAAGGATGGCGGAAATTTTTCGCACTCCTTATTCCGTATCTCGTCCTTTTTTTCCCCTTTTGTTTTCGGTCAAGTCTTTCGTTGTTTCGTAAAGCCAGATCTGACACTATAAATGCAAGCCTCAAGTCCTTTCTGTGTGTAATTTTGTTGACTACTCATACTAAGAAGGTAATTAGTTTGGGTTTGGTTTTTCCTATTTTCTGCTTTCGGTCCTCAAATTTTTCTGCTAGTTTTTGGCTGTAAAAGTAATAATCACAGAGATCTGAAAGATGGATTCCAATAATTCAACAACACAGGGTCGCGTTTCAATTATGGCTGGGGTAGGCAATTTGCGACGTCAAAATAGGAAGGAGAACTGTCCATCTGTATCTATCCGAAATGAAGGAAAGATATTCAACGATCCTTCACGTTTGCCTAGGAGCAATAAACCATCTACAGACCGCGTTGCATCAAATCGAAGTAATAAACGAAGAAATAATTATAATGGCCGATCACCAAACCAAAGAGGGCAGTTGTCCATGGTGCAATAGCTTACTGGTCAAGTTTTTCATTTCGAAGTATGGTTTTTAATTATGTTTTGAATTATTACTCTTGAGCAAATTTATTTTTAAATAAACCACCCATGCACCTCTAAAGGAAAAGCAAAACAGTCGTTGCAATAATAATCCAACTAAGAATCCACGTCTAACCACAAGAAATTAAAATAGATGTTATGATAGATATCTAAGAATGAGACTAAATATACCTTAAATTAGCTTTCGGAGTGACTAAATCTAAGAATTACGCTAACTAATAGGCAGAATAGCTTAGGAGACCCCCGCACTTATTTCGATTTTACATCCCGACCCCTATACTCCACAAAGTTTCATGCAAACACCTCAACTCGACCAAAACTAATATTTTTAACGCTTCTTACCATTGGCCAAGCTTATGTGGCATTAAATCTGCTGAGTTGGACGAGATGTGTGAAATATACGCGTATAAAGCGAGTGAAAACAATGAATTTGATTTTAAAAAATGATTAAATAAAAAACAAATTAAGAAATTATTACTTTATTATTTATGTTCGGCCAAAATGCTATACTTTTAATACATTACTCGCCCTATATTTTGTTTGTTTAGTGATTAATTGTGTGACATTTGAGCTAAATTGTGTTGTTTTATGTGTAGGAGCACCAGAAGAAAGAGTCAGATGAAAGTTGCACAAAAAGAGGACAAAAATGCAAGAAAAGAGCACAAAAGCATCAAGTACCCAAATCGTGCTACATACCAAATACAGCCAGCTCTATAGCCTGCTTTACCATGCTACAGACCAAGTAAAGCCAGCTCTATAGCTAGCTTGACCGCGCTACAAGCCAGCTCTGTAGCCAGGCTGACCGCGCTATAAGCCTTGCCTCGCGAGGTTTATAACCCAGTAATTAAAAGTTGCGGGTTAAAAGATTCTAACCCGAATTTTGACTAAGGGATTCCGGCCCTAAAATAAAAATACTCCCTTAACGAGTTGAGAAACTGTTGGACACTATTTTGGAGAAGAAAAAGGCTACAGAGCACCGTGGTGCGAGAATCAAACGAGTGTTTCCTCCGTTTATCTCCTTACTTTGTAGTTTAATGTCTTTGAACATCATGATGATTGTTGATACATTTATGAGTAGCTAAACTTTCTAATCTAGGGTTTGATGGAATCTATTGGAGGATAATTTTCTACTATGTTTAATATAGATTTGCCTTTGATGTTTCTCTACTTGTTCAACTACGTTTACATTATGGTTGATTGAATAGCTCTCAATTGACTGTACCTATTTAGTGTATATTTTTTGAAAAAGGGGTACATATTTTGGCAGTTATTGAACAATATCACTCCTAACGCATGTGAGGAATCAATACCGAGGGTTTAAAGGTGGGATTAGGAATAATGAAACCTTGGTGCACTCTTAATGAACGGTGAATTAGTGCCAGGTAGTGTATTTCAGAAGAAAACATCTAGTAAATTGTGGTAGTTACTTAAAGAGAATTATGACACCCAAAATAGTACGATCGGTAGAGAATACTTAGGCAAATTTATAGGAAGCGTAACAGAGAGGATGCCGACAATAGGGGAAATCATAACCCTAGACTTTTTCAAATCATGTCCACAGCGTTTGCTATGTTAGTTATAAATTATTGCATTTTAATTACTTTGATCTTAGTTAGTAAACATTCAAATCGTTATTTAATATTTCTAAAGGTTGATTACTTTAATTCGTGCGAAACTAGTGGTTGTAATTAGTAGGTTAATTCCCTGTGGATTCGACCCCAGACTTGTAAACCGAATTATTTTTGCAATCACCGCTAGAACTCTTAGGAGCCATAGTTGGGCAGGATCAAATATTGGCGCCTTTGCAGGGGAATTAACGGTGTAATTAATTACGGCTAAAAGAATTGTTAGAATTCTTAGTTTAGTCGGCTTTCTTATCTTGAAATTCATTATTTAAACTCTAATGTTTGTAGTCTTATATGTTACAGGTGCATGCCTAGAAACTCCTCAAGAACTGGTGAATTGTACGAAGCAATACTGGACCCAGAGAAAGCTTTCAGGGCACTAAATCGAGCAAATAAGAAAGACAAAGGACAATAGAACTCATCAGAGTGAATCAAACTAGACATGGGTGACGTAATACACAACCAAAACAATGTGAATTAGTCGAGAAACCAGGGTGTGGCACCTCTTGTGCCAGAAACAGCCTTGTATAATTGGGCACAACCCACCGCTAAAACCTGACAATCGCATATGCAGTCCCTTCGATACAACCGGAATCATTTTAAATTACAAATAGCATGTTGCATTTGTTGCATAACAAGGGACTGTTCTCGGGGTCTTACAGTGAAGATCCACAGCTGCACCTGAAAACTTTTCTGTCGATTTGTGTCATGCAAAGGCAACCGAATGTGACATTGGAAGCAATAAGACTGTTGTTTTTTCCATAAACTCCATCACTACTTGGGAGGAATTAGTCAAGTAGTTTTTAAATAAATTCTACCCACCCAATAAGATTTCCAAGCAAGTTGACGAGATATTAAGGTTCAGGCAGAAACCAGCTGAAACACTGCAAGAAACATGGGAGAGGTTCAAGGGGATGCTGGTCAAGTGTCAACACTATGGCATTTCTAATCAGATGTTGGGGCAAAGGTTCTACATGGGATTGGCAAACAACTTGAAGGCCAATATTGATGCTTCGGCAAGTGGAGCATTTTTGAGCAAATCATTCAGAGAATGTAAGTTCTTACTTGATAAAATGGAACAAAACTCAGGATGGATGACAAGAGACTCTACAATCGCTTATTTAGTTCACTCAGTAGCTCTAGACCCAAATAAATCCATGGCTGAGAATATGACTACTATGATGACGCAATTGAGTATCCTAACAAAAAGGATTGATGAGTCAGGCCAAAAGCAGGAGCACATAGTTGACATGACCAATGGAGGCTTATGCACACAATGCATTAACCAACCATGTGTGTGCTCGTGGAGTGGTTAATATGAAAGTGACATTCAAATTATCAAGAGAATATAAACAATGTGGGAAACTTTGGAGGCCAAAGGCAAGGTGGTCAGAATTGGGGGTAGTAGAATCAACAGTATAGACCAACATAACAATAGTATAATAACAACAACAATACTGGAGTTATGCGACCTCAGAGTCAAGTCGTGCCTTATCAAAGGCAACATGGACATAATCAGCAAAATCAGCAGCTAGCTTATTAACAGCCTCAACAACAACAAATAGTGAGACAAGATGATTGGTTGTCTGAAATTAAAGGAATGCTGCAACAGCTGATTGGGTCCAATGGAAAATACAAGATAAGGTTGAAGAACATGACTCAGCGATAAAAGGACTTGAGATTCAATTGAGCATATATTTATGTCTCTAAATAATCGTCCTCAAGGGACGTTACCTATGGACACACATGTCAATCCGAAAGAGCATGGCTCGAAGAAGATTATGGTGGTGAGTGTGAGAAATGGTAGAGATCTTGATCTAGAGCAAGAAACTGCTCCTGAAAGCTGACCAACTGAGATAATCATCTCAGTACCAATTGAGGTTGAAGAGTCAACTGAGCTAACAGAAGTAAGAGTGCATCAAGCTCAGGAGGAACTAAGAAAAGAGAAATAGGTTTCAAAGGAGATTGAGAAAGTGCAAAAGAAGGCATTATAAAAAGTTCCCGAGTAGGATCTAACTCAAGTCATAGGAAGGGAGCGACTTCCAGCACCCTTCCCGAAGAGGTTGGCCAAATATCAGAAGGATTAGCAGTATAAGAATTCATGGAGATGTTGAAGTAGATTCAGGTAAACATTCCATTGATTAATGCCTTGAGAGAGATGCCCGATTATGCAAAAATGATGAAGGATTTGATGTCTTGGAAGTTCGAATTTCAAGACTTGGAAACTGTGACACTGACTCAGACCTGCAGTGTTGTCATGACAAGACCTATATCTATGAAGTTATCTGACCTAGGGAGTTTCACAACTCTGTGCACCATAGGCAGCTATGCTTTTGCCAAAGCATTGTGTGATTTGGGGGCAAGCATAAACTTGATGCCATTGTCTATCTATTAAAGGTTAGGCATTGGAAGGGCAAGACCAACATCCATGTTACTACATCTAGTCGACCGAACGGTGAAAAGGCCATCAGGTATACTTAATGATGTACTTGTGCAGGTTGGAAATTTTGTGTTTCCATTAGATTTTGTTAATCTAGACTTCCAGGTCGATGAAGAGATTTTCATAATTTTGGGAAGGCCATTCTTGGCCACAAGGAGAGCTTTGATTGATTTTGAAATTGGGGAGCTAAAGATGAGACTGAATGATGAAGAAATAACATTCAATGTGTATAAGTCTATGTGGAGACCCAGTAAGTTCGCTAATTGCTCTATGATCGAAGCTATGGATGTGATTCTGGAGGAGGAAGACGAGGCACTGAATGCAAAAGTCCCCTTAGTAGCCTGTCTGATGAACTTAGAAGAGGTAGATAGTGAGGATTTAGTGGAGTTGGTTTTGGGTCTTGAAGACAAAGGGTACTGGAAACGAGAGCTCGAATTTGAGTCTTTACACTTAGAAGAAAGAAATAATCCTCCAGCTAAGTCAATAATTGAAAAACCACAACAGTTGGAGCTAAAGTTGTTACTGTCTCACCTCAGGCATGCTTTCTTGTGACCTAGCTCAACCTTACCTATTATTATCTTATATGGTATGCTTGATGTACAAGTAGAACAACCTTTGTAGGTTCTAAATGAATGCAAGACTACAATTGGGTGGACCATTGCAAACATAAAAGGTATCAGCCTAACATTTTGTATGCATAAGATTCTACTAGAAGATGCACAAACCTTCCATAGAACATCAAAGAAGGTTGAATCCCAACATGAAAGAAGTGGTGAAGAAAGAAGTGATCAAGTGGTTAGATGCATGAATCTTCTTCCCTATCTATGACATAAACTAGGTCAGCCTAGTTTAGTAAGAAGGGTGGAATAACTGTAGTGCAAAATGAGAATAATGAGTTGATCTCAACAAGAATAGTCACGGGATGGAGAATCTACATGGATTACAGAAGATTAAACAAGGCCACCCGAAAAGACCACTTTCTGTTGTCATTAATTGATCATATGCTAGATAGATTGGTGGGGAGGGCCACATTTTTCTTCCTGGAAGGATACTCAGGGTCTAACCATATCTCTATTGCCCCGGAGGATAGAAATAAAACGCCGTTCACTTGTACATATGGCATCTATGATTTTTGGAGAATGTCGTTTGGCCTATGCAATGCACCCGCCACATTCCAAAGGTGCATGATGGCCATCTTCACAGATATGGTAGATGAAATAATGGTGGTTTTCATTGATGACTTCTCTGTGGTGGGGAACTCATTCGACGATTGCCTTATGCACTTGAAAAGCGTATTGAAGAGATGTATGGAGACTAATCTGGTACCGAACTAGGAAAAGTGCCATTATATGGTACATAAAGGTATAGTGTTGGGACACCTAGTGTTAAGTAAAGGAATTGAGGTAGACCGTGCTAAGGTTGATATAATTGAGAATTTGCTTCCACCCACTTCCATCAAGACCATAAGAAGTTTCCATGGCCACGCTGGCTTCTACATTTAGTTTATATAATGTTTTTCCACAATTGCTAACCCTTTGTTTAAATTGCTTGAAAAGGATCACCCTTTTGTGTTTTCTAATGACTGTAGGGTAGCTTTTGAGGAGTTGAAGAACAGACTGGTGACTGCACCAATCATAGTGGCACCTGACTAGAAATAATCTTTTGAGCTGATGTGTGATGCAAATGACTATGATGTGGGAGTAGTTCTAGGGAACATAAAAGATAAATATATGCATCCAATCTACTATGCAAGTAGAACCTTGAGTGGTGCCCAACTGAATTACACAGTGACAGAGAAAGATATGCTAGCAGTGGTGTACGCATTTGACAAATTTAGGTTATACCTGATAGGCTCGAAGGTAATTATTTCTACTGGCCATGCTTGTCTCAGGTACCTAATTGAGAAGAAGGATTCAAAGTCGCGCCTTATTCGATGGGTGGTATTGCTGCAAGAGTTTGACTTGGAAATTCGTGATCGAAAGGGAACGAAAAACCTAGTTGCCGATAACTTGTCAGGCTTGAAGGAGCTGAAAAGAGGGTTGATGTGGAAGAGATCGTGGAGTCTTTCCTAGATGACAACTATTAGCCACGAGCCT